CCTTGAAAGCTTGTAAATTATCGTAGAAATAAAGTGTTAGAAACTAGGGCCAACTACGCATGCTCCGAAACGAAGTACCCAATGCGCATGTACAGGTACCTTTCCTGACGTCACAGGTTACTCTCGTTCCTAGATCACTTCTTCACGTTCATCCCGGCACAGGAAGCCCAAAATGGCAACTTTAAGCCTAAATATCTCCCCCCGGAATTGCCAGATCGACCTCATATGTATATCATTCGAAATCTGATGACGTCTAGAATCTTTTAAAATTGGTTCATTTTTAGGGGTTATATACTCATCTTTGCATAAGATATATATCTACTATAATATGGAAGGATTTATAGTATTGTGATGATTTGTTATGGATTTACGAATTTTTAAACATCGCCCAAATTTCATGAATGAGGTAGTCAAATGAAGTAGTCAAAATCACTAATTTGGCCCCCTAGGGGACCCCCCTGAAACTTTGCAAAAAAGCGCCGAAGCACAAAACAAAATGTGTTTTGGAAGGGCACACTCACACACAAAGTTTGAAAGAAATCTGTTTTTTCACCCAAAATGGTTATCATGAGGTTCTTACAGAGACAGCCTCTTAATAAGTCTTTATTATACTTTGATCTATCCATTTTTGACTTACGGTCTGTTGGCTTGGGGTAATACGTACTACTCAAACATACTCCCAATTAGTATTCTTCAAAAAAAAGCTCTTCGAATCATTTCATTTTCAGGATTCAGGGACCACACCAACCATCTTTTTATTGAACATCAGTTAATCAAGTTATTTGACTCGGTACATTATCAGACTGCTATTTTTGTCTATAATTTCAAAGTAGGAAACCTACGCAAATTGCTTGTATATTTTATAAGTATATGATATATGTTTATACTTGTATTTCATACAGCCGGCTTCGTTGCAGTTTTTATTTTTCTTATTTTTAAATCTAGTAATAGTTTATGGTTGTATCATCCGCTATTTTGTATGAATAAAGTTTGTCTTTGTTGCTGTTGTTTTCATCTCTGAGAGTTAAGTGGGAGCCCTGACATAACACCCTGGCCCTGATATAACGACTTGTGTACCAGTCGTAGAAATTATAAAAAACATCATGCATCACAGGAAAATTTCGGTGACATTGATATCTACTTGTTCAATATTTTCAAGATGGCGGCGAAAACGAGAGAGAATGTGGACGAGTATTTTGGTTCCTAAAGCACGCCGGGTCCAAATTTTCGGGACCCATAAGTCCTTTCGGTCATTGTACCGTTACAGTCTCTAAGCGTGGAGACGGAACGGACGAGCGAGAGACTGTTGAAGAGCCGGCCTACGCCGGTCAATAGCGATATCCAGAATCGACAAAAGAGAATTAGTCTAATTCCTTTATAGAATATCATATAAAGCTTCTTGCATGAATTTTTTTTTGGTTTTTGCCCACCCCCCCCCCCTCCCCCTCAAAAATCTAATAGTCCGTCCCTTAACGAAAACACTTTCGTGGCGAAAGACAGTGAAGTTAATCATAACTACTTTTTGCTTTCTCTCACTTAACACAAATAAAAATACATCAAACAGGAAGTTGCTCCTTATTGTGATCTTTTTACTAGCGGGAACATTTAATTTAAATCAAAACAAATATTTAACCGCTTCAGTGCTTTTTGCGCATCCTTTCGGTCCAGTCGCAGAGGGTTGAGCTGGTCAATTACGTTTTTTGAATTGACTATATTCATAAACCTCTCACGGTAACCCGTTTCTACGTTTTGATTATCCACCAGTTAAAAACCAGCAGTCTATTATTTCCCGAGGAGCAGGAGGGAATAGCCGACTAAACTCCAACAACAACAATGGCAAGAACAACAGCAACAACTTTATTTTTACCACGATTACAACTTTTTTCCTACAAATTATGTGTTATTGGAAAGTGCAATTGAAATTTAACCATGAAGTAAATAAATCAGACGGTTACTTTAAATTATATTATTATCAAATTGAAAATTACCGCATAAATTGAAAACAAACACCGTTTCGTTGCCACGAAGAGGGGGAGGGTGGGGCTCTGGCACCCTTTGCTACGCCCCTGTCATATCTAGTAACCTACGATTTATCATGTACGATTCTTGTAAATTGCGCATAGGCCTTTGGTGCGCCTTGCCTTGTCTTGTCGAGCATACTTTGTATCTTAGATACTTGATACATCGTCTAAAACCGTATGTCTTACAATTTAATATACATATCAGCACATGCTTTACCGTAGCTGCCAACATCCATATAACCCTGCAGTTGTTCAGTAAACCAAACCCTGAGGGTTTCATTTTTTTGTAAAGGCAAAGAAGGATTAAAAATTGGATAAATTAATTCGGGGCTTGACACGGTTATGCTGTCAATGGTGAAAAAGAATTCGGAATTTCCGGAATAACTAGGATAAGGTGCTATTTGCTTGTTTTTCTCGTCAGTAATTACCACATAGAGTGCGTTTGGAAACTTATTATCTCCCCAGTTTCGGGCCGTTACCGGGCTATTTATCTGGGAGACTGCCCCTGAGAGATGAGCGAGCTTCAACTGTTTTACTTTTACATCAAAAGGAACAATAACCGTCCCATAGCCGTCATTTGGTTTTCCAACGCACACAGGATCTACATTTATTTTGATCCACGAAACCATTTCTAAAAGAAAAAAAAAAACCATTATATGTTCATATAAAATTAGTCTCACGCCAGAACTTACGAACTTAAGCAAGATCTATTTGGTTAACTGTAAAGGAACCATGCATTGCTATGTCATTAGATCAATTCCATACTGTTTTGTTGAATTTAAAATGTCGAGGGGGGAAAGAAATGAAAAATTTATACCTCAGACTTTTTCAAGTAATTTGTTGCATATTTGTCCAAAGTAGAGCCCCGTTAAAACATGTATGTCCAGAATACACGAACTGATACGGATGGTAAAAGCTGGTTTACCATCGGTACAGTTGGTGAAAGTAATTAATATGCAAGATTCACGAATTCATTATCAAAGTCATCAAAATTCAGATGCACGCGTCAATCAGTTCAATTGGTCACCCTTTGGTAAAGCTTGCGTGT